CTGTATTAAAAGAAAAAAAAAAAAACAAAAACAAAAAAACCCCACAAAAATTCCCTTTTCCTCAGGAGATTCAAACTTGAAGTAAATCCAAGAAACTCTACATGTACAGGGTAAGGCTGAAGCATTCCCATGTGCAGTGAGCTTAGTAATGGCTGTGTTCTTGCAGGAAAAGGCACAGATAAGGAGGGAGGAGAGAGCTAAAAGAAGGCAGCGACTGGAAGACATAAATACCTTGAAAAGTATGGGCTACTCGGAGAGAGCTGCTCAGGTAGCTCTTCATAATACACAAGGAAACCTGGACCAAGCCTTTAAGGTAAATGATTTTCAAGAGTAGTACTTTTGTACAAAAAAAACTTCTTTCCTTTTTTAATTTGTTCAGCAGTTTCTTATTTTCTGTAGTCTGTATTTGTTAGTTCATAGCTACCTTTTCGGAACTGAACTTCTACTTCCTGACCCAATGAATCAGTTATCACTTAAGTTGGCTGAGGTTTGGTTATATCAGCTATTGGGCTAAATACATTCATGCCAAGGACTTTCTTTCTCTTTTGCTCTATTTCAGTCTCTCTGCTTTATTGTAGTTTATTCTTGACAATCCTGAGTTATTGCTGGAAGATGATGATGATGATGATGATGATCCTGTGGCTGTGGACCAGTTCCAGGTTTCCCAGGAAAGTATTGATCAAGTAAGTTAGACCCTTTGCTTTCTTAGGAGCTTGTTGTCTTGTTCCTGAATTCAGGTTTCAAACACACCAGGTCTTCCTTAAGCAAAGCTGTACAAATATTCTTTGACCCATGTCACTCAAGCAGTGACACTTCAACTGTCTGGCATCTGCTCTTCATGGTGAAATCACACCCAGGCTAAAATGTAATTTGTGCATATTTCCTGCCCATTACACCAACCTGTCATGCATGGATGTGGAGCAAAGTCTGTGCACACTAATGCTCTATCCTAAAATAGACAGCAAATGAGAAATTCACTAAAGTCTCTAAACATTGCAATGCACAAGGGAGTTGGATTGTGTATCTCACCATAGGCTGTCTGAAAAGCTCTTCAGTAGTTTGTGTGCCTACATAATTAATGTCCAGTAGGCAAGAAAATTATATTGCCTAGAAAAAGTAAATAGCATGTGCAGACTCCTGATGTGCTGGAGTGCTTTGAAGTTTCCTTTTGAAAAACAAACAAGAATTGGTCCAATATTAAAAAGAGGCTCTTGATTTTTCTCAAGATCCCCATTCCTTTACTAGGTCACTGCCCTGTTGTTAACTGTTCCAGTAAACCAGAGCCAGTGTTCTGGAATTTCTGGCATGCAGCACTTTCCTCTGTGCAAGAGGAATGACTGTCAGATGCAGAGTCAGTTTCCTGTCAGACCCTGGTGCTGGATGAGCTTGGATTTCTCCACATTTTTTTTCCCCCCCCCCCCCTCCTGCAGCTGATGTATATGGGTTTCAGCCGTGAGTCAGCAGAACAAGCTTTAAAGGTCTTTAAAGGCAACATCCACTTAGCTTCTCAAACCCTTGCTCATTATGGGGGAGTTCTTCCTGCTTCACTGCAGCTGTCTCCAGAAGGGTCCAGTCCATCAGAGGAATCAGCTTCATCAAAAGACTCACCCACAGAGTCAGCAGGTAAGAGTGTCACATGCAGCAGACAGGGAAGGGGGGAGGCTGTTCTGGCTTTTCTACAAAAGGATTGATTTCTGCTTAAATACTGATAGAGGGCCTTGAATAATGCCCCAGACTACTTTTACTAGTACCAGAGTTAGAGGCAAGGCACGCATTACTCCCGAGAAGCCCCCAGAGGCAGCAACAGCTGTATGCGGGACTGTAAGGGACATGTATCAGCTGCAGGCAAATGCCGAAGATGGATGTAGTGCAGAAAGGGTGACCTTCTGAGGGGTTCTGGGAGGGGCTAAGAGCAAATGGCCGCAGCATGGGCTGTGGCTGTGGCACACAAAGCTGTGTGTCTCAGGTCTGTGTCTTCACTTGCCCAGAGAGGGCCATGTGGCCCTCTAACCCACAAGCAATTCCAGTTTCTCCCATCAAATTGTACTGGCTCACACCACTTCTTTTTAGAATACAAACCAACCTCTCCTTGCCTGTACTCTTCCAGAGATCAAGTACTGAGTTGCTGGAGTGTGTTCCCTAGACCTACCACTGATGATAATGGTTTCTGGCTTGGTAGTATCTGGGTTCTAACTGCTAGGAAGTTTATTCCAGATCTGTGCTGTACAGTCAGCTGATTTGACCATATACTCCATCCTCATGTCCCTTATGTGGTAGAACTGTAGTTGATACTTGCTGTTTAGCAAACTTTTTTGTTGTTGTCAGAGCTGAAAAGATCCCTGTTGTACAACTAAAGGCTTTCCTACAGCTTTTAAGTAATAGGAAAAAATGGCTGCCCTGCAATATCCTTTGCAGAGCAATTTTAAATATGAGGTAGTCTTACAGTAACAGACTCTCAAAGCAGTCATGCTGGTAGAAGAGTGCAAGTACCAACTTCCTTGAGGTAAATTCACTGCTGCTGCTTTTTATTGGAAGGTTCTTCTAGTTCACCAACAGATGAAGACATGGAGACTGATGCTGTCAATGAAATCCTAGAGGATATTCCTGAACACGAAGAGGATTATCTGGATTTAACACTGGAGGAGGAGGAACAGATCATTCATGAATACTTGTCCTATATCCAAGTACCACAGCATTAAATCCCATTACATCTGCTTCAGTTACATGTATTTACCTTCACAAATTGAATTGGGATTATAAACGCACCTTCACCTTATCTCTTACTAAATGCCTTGAATTCAGTTAAACTATAGGTGGAATGTTTAATTCCTGCTTATTTATAAATCTGCTTAAAGCCTACATTTGTGATACATTGTAATTTATTGTCACAGCAGAAAAATAGAAACATTTATTTTCAGAAGAAAATTTAATAGAACTAAACTATATTTTTATTGTGAAATAAGTTAAATCACTTAGTATTCAAGTAAAGAAGCATTTCTATACCATTTTAAAATACCAGCTTTAAAAGTTAACTATTAAATCAGAAACCTAGCTCATGAAGTTAGAGGTACCAACTTTCACACTCTTCTTCTGAAAGATTTCTAAGAGACATTTATGTATCTGTTGTGCATGGATTTATACTGTGGTGTGTTTGTCCCTTCCTGCAGGTGTTACACGGGCAATAAAGATAACTATGTGCTGCTTCTGATTTTAGTAAGAATGTTCTGTGCTTTTAAACAGGCCATGGCTGTTCAGACCCCTGTGACCTGTGTACTGGTATTTTGCTCCTCTTCATCTCTTGCAGCTGTGTGGTTGAAGGTTGATAGATTTCATGGGGACTACAAGCTTTTCTTTAATCGGCTCTCGAACAAAACTTGGTTGAGGCACTGTCTCAGTAGTTGTACCCAGCTTCAGCCCTCTGAAGAAATACTTTGTGGTTTTTTTGGTGTATCTTCTGACACCCCATTTTCTGCTCTGAAGTTCCCCTGAACGTAGTTATCTGCTTCCCGTAACTCCCTTCTCACGGCAGAGGGAGCTCATGTCCCATCTGCAGTGTTGGAGCTGATGGGATCAGGGGCCTGGCCCTGATCTCGGCTTAAAGCAAGGCTGAATAGCAACTGCTGGAAAAGAAACCTGGCGACAGTTTATTCTTACCCAGCATTTATCAGTGGGGAAATGAGGGCTTGAACTTTCCTTAGGGCAAGCATGATACTGGAGGAAGCAGAGCTTTGGCCTGAAAAATGACTGTTCTGCTCCAGCAGATGGACTTAATAGGCTTCAGTAGTGGATTTTTTTTTTCCCGACTACCTTTGCCAAGGACAACAAAAAGCAGGGACTGATTACACTGTTAAGGAATTATTTGTATTTCATACTTCTATATCAAGGCAAGTGCTATAAAAATTGAGTAGTTTTGTATCTCTTCCCAGAAGGTTGAAGTGTTTCTAAAGCCAGTAATATGAGCTTCTGAGGAAAAAAAACAGCCCCAGCAACTGTACTATGCTGTTTCTCTACAGGCAAGCACTACAGAACCATTGGAAAAAAGGCAGAGAAAAAGCAGAATGGACAAAAGAATTTAAAATTGAAAACATAAAGTGATGGATGTAGTTTTAACGGATTTATTCTTTCCTTTAGCCAGAGGGGTTCCCAAACCTACTGGCATTCTGGCACTACCCTGTACTAACCCCTAGGTAAGCGCCCAGGGCAGCATTGGGCTGTAGAGGTAGTAGTTCTACCTGAAGGGGCTTGCAGAGCAAAGTGACAACTTAAGTGGCAGTGACAACTTAAGAAGTGAAGGTTTGTCCTTTGAGAATTTAAAATTAGCATCATCACACACAGTGCTTGTCAGAGAAAGCATTCATCGATGATGTAATTCTGCCAGCACTGCCCCCAAGTAACTGTGTCTGCAGTTTTAAGTGGCTAAAAGTTTTAATTTTGACCACGTATTTGACCATGTTGCATTTAATTTTGACCATGGTATGTTTAGCAACAGGCAGAAGTGGTAATGACTCATTAATTCCCGTCTTTACAAGACCTGTGTCTATTAAATCCATTTGCTAATTCCATGGGTAGCTACTGTACAGCCAGATAAGCTCTTGTGTCTAACATACTGTGTGTTAAGTTTTAAACAAAAAGTATAGCCCAGGCCATCTGTGCAACTCTGTCTATCTCTGCTAAACACTGCCTACTTATCATTGACCTCATAAGCAAAGCACAAACAAAATTAGCTGCGTAGCAAGCCATCAGCCCAGTAACTGAGAGCCACTAACTCATAAACATTTCTCATAGGCACAGTGCTGAGCTACAACAACTGGACCAAGAGGTTTACAGTGGAAGTAAGTCCATGTTATGCAGACAGCCTCCCAAATTAGTCTCTCGTGGTAGGCATTTAACATAATTAAAATGCTGTTTCCTACTACATGAAGAAACCTGCCAGGTAGGAGCTAACAAAGCTGTTCATCCAGTGTGACAGAGTTTACAGTTTTAGAGTAGGGGTCTGCAGTAGCTCCCTGTTGGCAACACTTTACCTTAAGACTGGGCTTTGGCTTGTGGCTTGTTGCTCCTTCCCCTGAGGAGAGAAACTGAGCTCTAGCACTCTGGTGACAGGCAGGAGGCAGGACAGCTCCAGGGTGTGCTTGACTCCAACCCCAGCAGTGAGGGAAAGGCAAGAAATGTTTCCTAAAGTACATGTTAATTATTTTTCATATTCCAGCTCTTCTTTGACAGACAGCCAAATCCCCTCAAAAGGAGAAGAAAAACTAGACAGTTGTCTGTAAATGCCACATGTTTATTAGTCCATTCTAAAAAAATTTTTGCAGCATTTTTATCTTGCTGTAGTAGAGAATAAATAAAGCCATAAAAATAAAAACATGTGGTTAGATATTTTTGTAGAAATAGTACAAAGAGTTATATCTGCAAATAGAAAAATATAAGAACCCTTGTTTATTCATGGCTCAGTGGTTATCAGAGAGGGACGAACCTGGAAAAAAAATGGGAGAACTCTTGAGCTTGACTGCTTATCTGATGCTACTAGCAACCTAGCACACTGAGGCCAGACATAGCCTCCTACAGAGGAAAGATAACAAACCTAGAGCACCTAATATATCTTCCTTTTTCACTCTCCCCTCCCCTGAAAAAAACCCAGTTTGACATTCCCAGTGGCTATAAAGTAAACCTTTTCCCCAGGAGGACAATCAAGCAGTGGGCTAGGTGCAGTCACCACCATGGACCTGGTGCCTAGCGAACAGCTTCCCACTCCTGCCAAGGCGAGGCCCTGCCCTGCAGCGGAGCCTGGCAGGAGCTTCCCATCTGTGGGGAAGGGGGCAGGCAGCTGGCAACAAACACCCCTGGCAGCACACAGAAGAGACATGCGAGGCCATCCATGCTTCCTTTCCTAAGTGTGAGACTGCAAAAGGTGAAACAAGAACCTGCTAGGTTGCTGGGAGGAGGACAACTGCTGTGCCTTGGCAAACAACTGACCTCAGTACAGAAGGTCTGAAGTTTAGCTTGTTCTCTAGTTTATGCTTTGTTAAGAAAAATTTATTTAATTTCTGTCCTACTCCCAACTTCCCAGAGAGGTGTCCAGTCTGCTTTGAACTCCTGCTGAGCCATTCCATCATATGTTAGTTGGTCTAATCAGCAGAAAACTGACCCAAAGTTCTGCTGTGAAAATTGAATTCGAATTCATACTGCAGGGCACCTTTCATTTCTATGTTTGGTGAAACAGAGGGCATGTGAGCAGGCAACAGGAACAGGAGAAAGTATTTCTCATTAGATACTAGGCAGGCAGAAGTGTGTAACACCTCTCTGCCAGGGAACTGAAAACAAGCAATGTTAAGTGCAGTTCTTAATTACACACACACACACAGAAGTACATCACCCTGCAGTCCTCCCAACCCCAGTGCTGAGAGTCACCTGCTGCGACAATATCTGACTTGAGTCCATCTGACAGTCACAAAGAATCCTGGCTCCTGAAAAAGAGGTACAAGCAAAGCAGTTTCCCATCTCTTTCCAAGTTCTGGTTTACATGGACACAGTGGTGCAGAAAACAAAAAGGTTCAGCTTTGGTCACAGATGGAAACTCTGTTCTGGACAGTCACATTAGTTCAACAGCCTCATGCTCCCCATTTTCTTGCTGTACCATACAGCCCACTTTATTGTTGAAGAGACGAGACAGACTTCCCTTCTGAGAGCTCCTGCCCTGGGCAGACCTCTCCTTCTTCAAACGCCGCTTGTTTCTCTTACATATTCCCCGGACGTCCCAAATCCTTAGTGTGCCGTCGTGGGAAGCTGTGTAAAGCAACTCGTTGTGGATCTGGAACAACGGGGTCACATTTAATACCAAACGGTACAGCTTGGAATCAGCACAATCAAACTGTCAAAAATCAGAGCAAACACAGCTTGATCCTAACACTTAAAGCCTGATAGCTCATTGCAAGAGCCAGTATAAATTATCACAAAAGCTGCTGAAGTGGGATGAGACATTACCAAGTCAGGATTCATTTCTCAGCCACTTCACAGAGCCATAAAATATAAACAGCAGGAGTTATTTATAACCTAAACCCACTAGAAAAGCAATGGGGAACTAAACTCGGTGTCAGAGTAGGCTGTAGCTGGGAATTTCTGTGCTGGTTTCAGACTGCTGGTTTTGAAGATGAAGCTTAAGGACGTACCAAAATCAGCATCAGTGGGTAGTGGGGGTGGTTCAGGAAAGCTTTCCTTCTCATCTCCCTTCTTCCCTTGCTGGAAGGTACAGGTACAACTCTTCCTTCAGAATTTGTTGTTCTTCCAAACCTGCAGTAATTTTAACTCTGATTCCCTCCCGTAGTTTCATTTCCTTAATGAAACATTTCCTGCTGTTGCGAAAGTTTCCCATTGTCCTCACCCTGCCCTAAAAGCCAGCCGTGGGTCTTGATCACCTCCTCCTTCCTTTGTCAGTCTGTCCCTCACGGGCGCTCGCAGCCCCCAGAGGCAGCTGTGAGAGCCAGCATCCCACCGGCAGCCTGGCTTATATCTGCATGAAGCACCACACCAGAACCACACAACCCCCAGTCCCTCATCCATCCCTCATTAACATACTTAAGATTATATTAAGGTGACCACTTCTCAGTCCTCTCCCCAGGATTTTTTGCCCTGTACACTTGGAAATGAAATCACAAAAAAAATACAAAGCCAAGCTTTGGTATTGTCAATACTAAGGGCTGCCCAGAGTGATTATATCAGTTATTACCCAAATGCATCCAGATGACCACCTGCTACACAACCAACTGGTCAATACCCAAGAGTCTGCCATTTAAGACCAACAAGCCACTTCTTAATTCAGAAACATACACAAAAGAAAATTATATTTACAACTCCCTACGCTTGGGATCAATTCCACAAGGAATTTTAACTCCTCTCTTTTTAATTTTGACTGTCACCCTGCCAGAAATGCTCAGTGTCTCATGTTCTTAATCAAAATCCTCATCCTGCATGCAGCTTTTACTGAGATCCGAATGCAGGGAGATGTGGATTCTTAAATGCACAAAGCATCCAAGGATTCAAACTTTTCCCCCAGGATTCCTTGCACGATACTGGTCTTTGCAGCGCCACCAAGGATTACTAATTCCTCCCCTTTTAACTTTTAAATGCCAGTATCACTTGAGCCTAGACAATATGCAAGCAACTTTTTAGGGACTTAATTAACTTTTAGAAAATTTTTAAACCAGGGCAGAGACTGTTTCATTTGTCTGGCAGGATGTGGGTCAGACATCAATACAGAGCTTCCTCATCATCTTTATACCTTCAGAAAAATAGCTCGTGATGGCAATATTTTTATAAGTGTTTATATACAGAGTAGCACATGAAAATCACCACTAGCTCTTCACTGAGGTCAGAAAGGATCGTAAACAGTTGCTCATGGGCATAGGGGCATATTATTCTGCTTGGTTAAGGCAGAAACTTTTTTTCTGCCTAGAGCGCTGCAAACACTTATCAGTGTCTTGTAATGGAAGGGGTCTCATGAGGTCGAAGTCCATTCCCTGCCCCTACAAAGGATCAGTTACATCCATCTCATTTTTTATGGTTGCTTGTCTAACCTGACCGGAAAAGCCTCCAATCACAGACATAGGACTATCTCTGGGGACTCATTCTGTGGTTTCACTTATCCTTATTATTGAGTTTGTCTAAAATTACAAAAGGAATGTTCGAGTCTGTTACTTTTCGTCCTACCCTGGAACAACATCCAACCCAAGACACACAGAACAGCTAGCCACACCAATTCCCACAAAACAAATGAGGGAGCAATTGGAAGTGAGAAATCCCAGCAAAGAAACCCCTTCCTGACCTGGATGCAGTTGATGATGAACTTGTGCCCTCGGAAGATCTTCTGCAGGACACCGCTCTTGGAATTGAAAGCTCTTGCACAGGCATCTCCACTTCCTGTGAACACTGAAACGCAACCACACAACACAGCACACAGCCAGACATGAGCAGCCATGTTATGGTCAGTTCATGTGAGTTCAAAAAGTACCTAAAACTAGTTCAAAGGAGCATGATGGTATCATTTTTAGGCTGGATTCTAATAATTTCCATTTTGCTGACCCCAGCATGCTTGCATTCATTTGTATTTTTCAAAACACTGAATTGCCATACATCTGAAGTTCCTACATACAACAGCATTTCACTCCACACACACTTCAAATATCTATTTCTGCTCTTCTCTTCCATGTATATTTCCCTGCCTAAACATGCCTCAATAATTCTGAGCAGGCATTTTATCTCAGGTCTGGTTTTAAGGATTTCTACTAAGCCTTCCATTTGTTTTACCAAAGTTACTTCCAGGTTTCCATTTAGTACCTCAGTATCTTCATCACTTCTGCTGCTACATCCAGCATTACCACCTCTCATACTAGTACTATGAATTTGGCCTTAGCTTCATTAATATATACAATTTTTTCCCCTCCATTTTCAACCATAAGCTTACTATCAGTAGGTAGGGCCATCTCTGTTGAAATGCCACAGTGAAATCTTCTGTCCTCAGAGGTGAGTGGCATGTGTAGGCAGCTTTACAAATAAGTTTTATAAATTCTTTCAGGTGTGGATCTGTGCAAGCAGTAGAGCCTTTAACGGATTCAAGGCCCAGGCTATAATCTCTATTTCGGTATTGCACAGAAATATTTGAGGGTTTCAGCTGTAACTCCTGTATTCTATGTGCTATATTGTACATGTGCTACAAGGGTAGGGGGCTGTTAAGTAAATTAAGCATAATTAGTGGTTTTGGCTTCCTTAAGGTATCTTAACATGTTCAAAGAACAACTTCTCAACACTTCAGGATCTTCAAATCAGATTCCCAGAATTGCTGCATCCAGAAGCTGTAAGGCAGTGTTGAATATTTAGATTTTATACTCAGTATTACGCCCAAAAAGGAGCACATTTGTGTGCCTTGAGGGTTAAACTGTCTTCATAAACCTTCATTTTCCTTCACTTAACCCAAACTCCTCAAGTTTATCTAAATAATTCAGAACTGCAAAAAGAAATATATTCACTGCTCCCTGCATTTCATGTCTTTGCAAAAGCCACAACTATGGAAAGATTTTTACAAAATTGAAGTGCCTGAAGACTACAGATTCTTTATCTTTTGGGAGAAGTCAGGCACTGCATTCCCAAAGAGAGATGAAGAAATTATCAAGGCAGTAAATTCAGTACTACAAGAGATGAAAGAACAGGCTACCTACTGCCATCAGCTTTTCAACTTCAAATTAAATAGTAGGAGACTGGGTACTTCCTGGGTACACCCTCAAGAAACATCTGGATGTGAAAAAAATCAATGTCATTTTATAAGGGCCACTATAAATTGAATTGCCAGCATAATCCTGAAAAAGCATTGCGTCCCATTCTGCAAATGAGTAACAATGATGTAAAGCAGGGAACAAGGTACAGCTATTTTTTCCCAGTGAATAGAAAGCACTTGATATGATTACACACATGCAGAGAATAGGAACCAATTAAGAGCTGTTTTCACTATGCAGCTGTCTGTTTACTTTAGCTATCACTATCAGGATTTTGCTTTTGACAGACATCCTTTATGTCTTTTGAACTGTCACTCTAGATTTAGGAAGTCTCTTGGCACCTCTGAGTTTCAAAGGAGAGCTGTCTATCTAACCCAGATTTAGCATTTAAATATATGTTTATATATACCACCTGTGAAACAAAGAAAAAAAAATTAACATCAACAATTTGTTTTTATTTTTTACTTAAATTTCCTAGACCCTTGGGAGGGAGAACAGGTTTTAAATGTTCTGTTGGAGCTTTTGCAACATAAAAAAAATTATAAACCACATTAAATTTTAAATGACTGTGCACATACAGTAGGAGAGAAATAACCAACATAATATCATTAAGTAAACTAGATTGAGAACCAGCTTTAATATTCCCCATGCTATTAATTACACAAGCAGACTGAGGAACACCACTAGAAACCCATTCTGATGATTTAAAGCTTAGTTCTCAGATCTGTCTGGACTCCCTGTACACTATAAAGCCATTTTTGAAATACACATATTTTTTTCCCTCTCATTCTTCTACTATATTTTCGTATTTAAACCATAAACTCTTTGGGGCAACAATCCTTCGGGTACTGATCTGACAGCAAGGAACAGAATTAAGATCTAACAGAAAGTTACCACTTCTCAGCTGAGATTCTTTCTGTGTTCTTGCAAACTGGTGCAAATGCGACAAAAACCATAACAAACAGCATTTATATTGAAGTATTTTCTCCACATTCTTGAAAGGCAAAGAATGAACACACAGCTCTGATCTGGCCCAGGTGAACTGCTAGAATTTTAAGCTACACTAGCTCCAACATTTGGTATCCAGTGAACATGTCATTATAATTCTAATTGAAACAAAACTATTAGATACTGTATAAAAAAGTGATCGATGTATTACAATAATGCAAGCAATATAAATTAATTTTTAAAGAGGAAATTTCCTCTTTCAAAAACTAGAATGCATCTATATTATATTCAGAAATGTCCCTAATATTTTCCCATTACATTTTTTCTACCCTTCAAGTGGAACAATTCAATTCTCCCTCTTTGACATGTTTAGTATTTTTACATTTGATTTAAAATGAGATCTTAAATAACTCTGTGAACACTTCTATCACACTATCAGGATGTTCTTCACAGGTCTGACTAAATGCAGCAATATTGCCTGCATTTTAAGAAAAAAAAAAAAAGAGTGCTATGGAGAAACAGTGTATGTGTATGGCAGGGACAAGGTGATAGGATGAGGGGGAAGAGAGAGAAAGCTGCAGAGCTGATGGGGGTGGCATCAGATAATGAAACTTTTGTTTGAGCCTAAACTTTCTTTATGATGGTTTTAAAGAGTCTGGTCAAGTCTATATGGGTTGCATGAAAAGCAGCATCAAAATTGAAAAAAAAAAAAAAAAAAAAAAAAAAAAAAAAAGCATCTCTGGAGGGCTCATTACTGAAGGAGACAGTCTCTCCATCTCCCACCCAGACATGAAGATTCCTCACTGGATCAGACCAACATCAGTTTAGCACAGTTATCTTGCCTCTGGGTAGCTTTGATGTAGTCAGTGTTTTGTATCTTTATAATTAAAAAGGGGGAAAACACGCACACACAAAAATCAGTATTTTGTTTGCCAGCATTCATACTGGATTAAAATTTCTGGTTCAATTCCCCTACCCTACCTGCATCTTTGAGCAATGACAACTTCAGGGTGCAGCATAAACTCGGACCCTTTCCCCTTCCATTTCAGCCTTCTAGCCAACTGCAAAAGCTGAAATCAGAAATCATAACCTGCAGGTAGGGAGAGTGGGGTAGTTCTGCAATATAGGGGAGGAGAGACAAAACTAACCGTAAATTACAGTTAACTATTTTCATGGAGAAAAGTAGTACTGTGAGTCTAATGCTGAAAATAAGACCCAAAAAAGGCTTCCTGATTAAAATCAAAATCTACCTATTGGCTTGGTTACACATTAAGTTTCCACACCTAATTAAGAAATCAATTCAGTTACTGGGTTATAAATGTGGTCAGTCAGCCATGTCAAGCATGGTGCCAGACAACTGCCATTAAACTGTAATCTGCCTGTGCAGGTACAACTCCCTTCTAATGCGTACCATCTCGCTTTTGTCAGCTATTTATCACCATCTGCCAAAAGAGGTATCAAGGCCCAAACAGCAACCATTCATTTGGCATTACATGTTCGCTTCACAGCTGAAGTACAGAAATCAAAATCAGAAAAGCATTACGAATTTCTAGATTAATTTAAGACAGGTATTGCATCCTGGTTACCCTGAAGGAGAGAAATACTTGTTTGGGAAGCAAATGAAGGCATGTCAGGTCTAACAACAGTGGCGAGATAAGCCATCAGTGGCAGATTGGTTCAGGCTGGTAAAAAAAACAAAAACAAACCACACAGGCACAGTCTTGCAACCCAAAAGCAGAAATGAACAGATGACATTCAGAAGAAAAGCCAGCCACGAGAGGGATTTAAAGAGAGAGGTTTCATGGTCAGAATACACCATTAAGTCAACAGAAGACAGTTATGTACAGAAAATAGGGGAAATGAGTCCCAAGCATTAGCACAGCAAGCAATGCTTGGCTACTACAGAAAGGTGGTTTGGAGAACGAACACATGAAAGAGGACAGATAAAGGGAAAAGAACTTGTGGAAAATGAGTCCAGGAGATGGTCAGAGTCTGAACAGGAAGTCTAATTGTTAGAAAGATGCAGGGAGCATCTGAATTGTGATTCTGGTTTAGGACAGTCCATTACACAGTACCTGCAAGGTAGCAGGGGCAGTCACAGGGCTGCATATCCAGCAGTGGCACTTGCTGTCCCCAAGTATACAGCTGAAGCAGACTGACAGACATCAGACTAGCGAGGTTAAACCACGGCTACACAAACAACCCACAGACAGCTCAGGATTTAAGCCACTTCCCTTGGTAACAGAAATAAAGCAACTGCCTCTTCATTTACCAGAAGAGGGAGGTGGAAAATGGAGGGAAGATCTAAAGCTTCCCACATGGAGTAGTGCATCTAAGTTCGATACTGTACACAAACATGCTGGATTTGAAAAAGTGACAATTTCTCAAGCCTTCAAAATTACAGTATTCTCTATTAACAATCTTTGATCAAAGACAAACATCAAAAAAGAAACGGGATTGCTGAATATCAGAAAGGCAACTTACAGATCCCAGCGTGGTATTTCAAAGTGCTAACGCTGTGTTTGTGAGCCTTGTACGTTTGGATTCGCTCCCCAGTGTCTACTAACCAGCACTTCACTGTCCTGTCCGCGCTTCCTGAATACAAGTGCCGATTCACTAGCTGAAGGGAAGAGAAAAAGACATCAACAACAGTCTCTCAGGCACGTTCATGAGAGAACTGAACTGAGTGACTAATCTAAAGTCACGGTTTCCAACTCAACAGCCTGTTACAAAGAGCAAGAGCCACACCTTGAAACAAAGGGACGGTGAGCAAAACTAACCTCGCATTCTTCATGATCACATCTCCCATTGACTTCTGGGCCTTAAAAACAGCTCCCACATTTCAGAAGAGAAAAAAAACTTAGCCCATCTGCCGGTGCAAGCAGGTAGGATTTCAGGGAGATTAACTATGCGGACCTTACTTCCATAAGGAGTTACATAAATACAGCCCCCCAAAACCAACCTGCAGTGTAGTTTTTGCAAAGCATATTTGACAAGAACTCTGATCAGATTTTAAGTGTTAATTACAACAAAAAATTCAGAACAATTTTGAGTAACAAAAAAGTAAATTAAAATAAAATCCTATGCAATATAAACCCGGGTTTAACATGATTACTCTGCACACGGTCAGTATTTGGAAACATTAGCTCTTCCTTGAAACTGATTTGTATCTGCATTTCCACAAGTTTTTTTAGACTGTAGTATCAAATGATTAAATAATTAGCTGCTCTTACTGTTTTTTTAAACACTGTCAATCAGATTGTCTTCTGCTGTGTTTAGAGCATCTCTGCGTATAAATCCCAAAGAAGAACAGTGCGTAATTACACTAGTTATCCTGCACATTGTGTGAACTCACTAGTGGTGGAGGTTGGCTTTTATTCCACACAGACACAAGAGAGAATGACAAAAGGAAGGATTGCAGTTGGGAAACCCAGACAGAGAGAAGATAACTGACCTGTACAGGACTGTAAAACTAGCTAGTACACAATAACAAACTATCCAAAGCCTGGCAGCTCAGCAGGGAAGCTCTCCACCGTGCAGAGAAAAATCTGGGATTCTATGTCTAAGGAAAGCAAACTAAAGGTTTTAACAGCCATCATTACGTACAGTTCTGATTCCTTACTCATCCAAGCAGAGAACAGGCCTAACACCTGCCACCTGAAGGCAGTGTAACAAAGGCAGCCAGTCATCCACCGGCTGTAGCTCAAGCTAAGTTTCATGGACTTGCAGCAACCTCTGTTATCAAAAGAATGGAGAGACAGGAGAAAGAACCCTCACCCCCTTGCAAAGAAACACGATTTGCATAAGGAGTAATGACACCTGGTTTGCCCTCCAGACACACAGATCAGAAGGCTCAAATGACCAGCAGAGCACTTACACTTCTCAGGTATCTGCAGGAAACCAACTGCAGAAGAAATGACAAATCAACTTGACATGAGTCTTGCTTTTACATCACTTTTAAGGGTCTGGTTCTTAGATTATTATAAACCTTTGGTCCCTCTGCACACTCTGTATCTGCAAGGTTGGAATGTTTTTTCACGCTCTCTCATCTCCACTCCCATCCCCAAAGGGGAATCACCTCAGTCCCAAAAGGCATTATAAGTGAGCTTTGTGCAAAAAAACACTTTCACTGTGTTACAACATGAAACAAAAGATATTTTAAGATACAAAGCACTGCAGCAACGAGACTATGCTAACCCAAGTAAGAAATGTATGCAGGCAGACCAAGATGATCACCGGATGCAGCTCATGCTAGCCCAGCTGGAGCAGTGCATGCCACACTTCCTACAAGCAGAACTCGGCCCATGGGACAGTTTTCACAGCTAAATGTCAGAAGCTTGTAAAACTCATACCACTGTTAAAAGCCAGGAATACTTTGAAATGTCACATCCTATTAACTTGAAGCTGTTTTAGCAATGGCATTAATACTACATCTCAATGAGGAAAGAGAAGGAATGACCAGCAGCACTAACAAAAACAAAGAGCATTACAGTTTGCCTGAGGAAGGTAACCTGACTTAATTTCCAGGCTCAGCCTGAATGGGCATGAAGAGCATTGTTGCATTGCACCTGCTAAATGGAAGAGGATGCTTTGAGCTGAGATCCTGCTGCTTGGCCAAATCACTGCATTTCTTTTTCAGACATCTTGCTAGCAGCATCAACCCACCCACTGAATAAAGGAAAACACTAAGTTATAACCTCCTGCAGGTAAATGCCACTCTGCACTCAATGGTCATTATGTTATGCTGCTTCATTTCTACATGTAAGTGGGTGTATAAATCCTGAAGTGAAACGGAAAAGCTGCAACTTGCCTGGATTTGCTAATTTGCTAGATATAAAAATGTGTTAAATGACGTGGGCTTACTCAGGTAATTTATAGCACCATAAAAGCTTCCAAAGCCCAATCAGAGATCTGGCGAGACGGCCCGTGCACCAACCATTCTCATTAAATTCAAAGCCCCTGTGCTACCCAAGCTGGCCCATGATATACTTTATGCACCTTCCTCCCCCTCACCAGTTTAAGCAGGTGAGCACAGTAGCAAGCATGGAAACAGAAATACTAACAGGTTAAGCAATCTACCAGATGACACAGACTAAGCCTGCAGCGCAGTCAATAGCAAAACCCAGTACAGGCTCTGACTGTCACACAGCCTCTCATTGCCATGATATTTTTAAAACACAGAGCACGAAATAGCTATTAGCAGAGAAAACCATCAAGAGCTATCAGCTCAGGTTGAAGTTGCAAATCAGATCGGACTTTAGTGATATGATGCAGGCATCACCTCATCTAAATTGATACAGATATCCACAGCTAAGATAGTCCCCTTACAGTCACTGCAGTCCAGAGCACAATTCTCATCCTGAAGCAGATGTCTGAAACAGATCACACCTTAAAACTGGCTGTTTCTCCCCTCTGACAAGGACAACCTTCTCAGCTGTAGCTATCTGTATCAATTTAGGTGAGACAACTCCTTCACTCGACTGAATACGGGTCTATTTTACAACTCCAGCCTAAGCTACAACACTTCTAGTATCTACATTTAATCAAAAAATAATAACCATCAATACTGTTCCCCTAGCCAAAGCACCTTACAAGCAGGCCCCACGCTCTGTGTAATATAAAATAAATACCTTCCCTACTTTATAGATGGGGAACCCTGACACAATGCAACTAAGTCCATCCAAAAAAAGACCTGAAATTTATAGCATCCTCACTTTTGACTGCCCAAATCCCAGAGTGCAACCCTGATTTGGGAGGTTGATCCAGGCTGCAACCAACCATCCATTTCTACAATGCCCAGGAAGCCTTACATGCTTCAGCGCAGTTGTGACAAGCAACAATGCACAGTATCCCTGAAACTGGTCAAGAGAGTATAGGAAAACCAGACGGGATTCTGTCTGAGAAGAGCAAGACAGAGACACCAATCCAATCTGACCCATGTCAAATTGGTGTTTTTACTCCAGAGCCTCCTTTCAGAGTTTGCATCCGAAGGGTGTGGCTATGCCCCAGCAACACAGACAACTCGAACTTGCCAAGGCTGGACATGCTGTGCAAATGCCCTCATGCTGGCTGGCACAAGCCACCTTTGCTGTGAAAGCAGTGGAGGTCCTAGGGTCAGACAGCAGCACAGGTCCTTGGCTCCTGTTATCCTTAAGTCACGAATGTTTGGAAAACTATCCAAAAAGCCCAAGAAAGGACTGTTACACAGCTCACTTCCAGACAGGTCCCCAAAGCACTGATTTCGAGTTAGGTCACCTTCTGCTGGCTCTCCCTTCTAGGCCGCCTCTGGCTAACCTCCTTAAGTCAGCCTAGCTTCTTCTATCCAGAGGTCATGGGACTCCCCAAATGGGTTCAAATCTCCTCACCCTACAGAGCCCATTTAATCCAGGTCCACCAGTTCTGTTAGACTACTGGGCAAAACAGTATGTTGCTGTTCCTTGGGTTAAACATTCCGGCTGACACGTTAAACTCAGCAGATCTGTCCCCTCTTGAGAGTTGCACAAAATATACTGACTTTTTCACCAAAATCCAAGATCATGCTACAGCTTCAGTGGGAGCTAAGCCTCCCTGATGCCAAGACTCACACCCATTTTGGTGTATGGGCATCCAGGTACAGTCATTTTTAGCAAACACTTGTGGGCTGGGTCCCCAGGTCCATAACTACTGGACTTTTCTAGCCCAAAGTCTCCAAACCTTTACCCAAATCCATATTCATATTAAAGAATTTAATTTTCTTATGATTTAGAAGTAAAAATGTAAAATTTACTCAGTACATTTTTCCAGATATACCAGTCTGTCAACTCTTGGTTTAAAAATGATCAGTAGAAACAGTTACATACTCTAATCTGCAACTGCCTGGAGAAATGGTGATATTTTCAAAGGTGTATTTTCTTTGGCTGGTTTTTGAGCACTTTGTTCACTTTGGCTAACTGCTCTACAAAGCTCCTGACACAGAAAAGCATGGCAAGGCAAGGACACCTGTAGCAGAGCAGACAAGATGGAACAGATTTGCAGCTCAGATACTAATGAGCTGAGTGGACATTTCAAACCCATGTAGCTTCAAAAGCTTAAAAACCTGATGACAGTCAGAGGCCCAGTTCTAAAACCTCAATGAGGCAGCAAAAAAATCACTGCATTGATATCTTTAATTCTGGACTATTAATTTTTCTCATTACTCTGAGGGACTTTGCTTTGAACCAGTTGAAACACTGAGACACATGAATGGGACAAATTTGTCTTAACCCTCAGGCCAAAGTAGCAGAGATGTACTAGTCCATAAAAAATTCAGTCAGACTTGCTTGTAAGTAGCAATGTAACAGCAGTAGCAAAATACATGTTGTAAACGCTGAAGCAGTTACAGGTTTTGCTATTAAAAAATACCAGTTTTATGCAACCCTGACCTCAGTTATAGCTCTCAGACACACCACTGTTGGAATAAAAAAAACCCCAAACGATCACATCTAGGGTCGGTCTCTGAAGACAATCGCAACTCTATCACTCCACAAACTTGGCTGAACTGAATATAGCAGCTTAAGATGTTTTCTACCTGTATGAATGCCAAAAACATCAGCAAAAGAGCTGTATAGCAGGTATTTCAACCTTATAGGAATGGACTTTGCTCTCCCAATTAACCTTTGCTGTAACAATTTAACCCTCATCCATGGAGAGGCAATTGGCTCTCCAAACAGATTTGGACACGTCCTCTTTCTGAAGGTCACTGCACTCAGACTGGCTCCCAGGAACTTCACCGTGAGTTCACATCAGCAACCATGTGTCCCATTACTAGCTTATTCTTCACATGGGGGTCAGTATTCCCACAGTCTGCCAGCTGGGTCTTCTGTTCACAGACACTTTTAAGTTAAAAATCACCAACTTGGACCAATCTCAAGTTACAACTATGTAAGCCTTCAGCTGAGTTAGACTTTCAGGATCCCATTCAAACCACATTCATTTTAACAAGCTAGTGAACTCCCTGTGGGCAAGAAATTGTTTTTTTTCCTGAGAATCCATCTAGAATGAGCTCTCTGGTCTGGCTGTTAAAGAACATTTTTAAACTTTTTTACTGCAGTACAAAGTAATGGTCCTAGAAACTTTTTCTACAGGTGTTGTACACATTCATACTCCTCTAATTTGCCTCTTCATCTTCTAATGAATTATGCAACAAATACAAACACAAATTACAAAAAAATATGTTAAGTGTATAAACGGAGTTCAGGCAATGGCTTTGTTCAAAGCATTCTTTTCTTCTCATCAGCTTTAAAAGGCAACTAAAGGGAATGGTCCAAACAAAGGATCTTTTGCAGGAAAACCAGAAGCAGGTCCTTGCCCACTCATGTTAATTTAAAACTCCTTTTGCAAGAATGTTTGCTATAGGATCCAAGCTAAATCTGAAGCTGGATCATATATTTCTGCCAGCTTTTGGCAGCACAATTTTGATAAACACTCAGAACAATCAGCAAAGGACAAAGCAATCCTTGTGAACAGTTTGCAAAGCTACTTTAGAGACATTTAGAAAAACATACACAAGTAAATATTTAAGTCAGGGTTATTCAGCCCATTGCATGCAGTCACATTAATGAAAATGCATGTTTGATTATTAATTGCAAATACTGGTCCTTCGCCAAGCCTGAAATTTTTAAGTGGAAGAACTAGCATGAGCTGTGTGATTACTCTCAGCCCACCCTTGCTTTTTCCCATCGCTTCCTATAAAAATCTCATCACTGGCTCTTATATGAAGAGGGAGCACTCAAAGCAGCTGCTGTCCCTTGCCTGCCAAACTATCAATTCACTGCTGGAGAAATCAAGCGAAGAGTTCTGGTGGCTCCACTGCTAGTTACCTTGCCTGACTGTGAGAGTGAAGTAGTCAAGGCTGACAAAGCACCCAGCACACACACGATTTCTACTGCAGATAGAAAGTCTCCTGGCAAAACCTCTGACAGTGTAATTTAATAGCAGAAGTTAGAGAAGAGTGGCATTAGAATAAGCTGGTTACCTGCAGCAGACCTACTCTGATAGCAGACCACATGCACTCAGTTCAGCTTGTACATCGCCTTCAACCAGCAGACCCTGGGAAAGCAGCACGAGCCCCAGGGAATATCTGAACAGCTCCACCCTCTTCACTCCACTGTCCAGGACCACCAAGGACAGGCGACAAGGGAACGCTAAAAGCTAACCACTGATTTCTGTTCTGCCATGCCAGATGAGAGTTGCTTTCAGGCTCCTCTAACTTATGCTAGCTGGCAACGACACCTGAAGAATCTTAGAGCAACCAAGGAACATTCAAAATCCAAACCTGCTCGTGGCATCACCCCTCTGGTTTTCACACACCAGCACTGCAGGAAGTGAAGTGGAAAAAACATGGGTGTGCTTTATGGATACCTACCCAGAAACGTTCCTTCAAGAAGCTCCAGGAATTTCCATTCACTGCTACAGCAACACTATTGGTATTTACTGGAAAGTAATGGGAGATGACTAGAATAGTCCAGACCTAATTTGCAGCAGTTTAGAACATCCTGGGGCATTCCCGTTAATAACAGTACTTTTTAAAGTTGGGGAAAATATGGTCTCAATATCCAAATTTTTCCTGATCTGTGTCCAGGATGAGAGATCACACTGAGCATTTCTCAAACTTTCTGAAAGGTCACCCTCCCTTAGGGATCTTTATTTGAATAAATAAAATGAAAATAAGTCTTTATTTTTTTTTCCCTTTATTCTCTCCACAAAAGCACTGTACCACCCAGAGAACAGGTAACTATCTTTAATTGCTGGTACCAACTCAGCTCCTCCAGGATGGGAGAGTGAAAACCTGGCGTAATTAGCTGCTCACTTATGCCCTGCAGAAAATGAACTATTGTCAACAATTAAAACTGTCTGCTGGCTACTGTGAGCAACTCAAAACTACCTCCAAGTCCTTCCTGACCCACTCACTACCACAGACTGCAACACTGTCGTGAAGAAGCCCTAGGTAAAAAAAGGCTCCAAGAGCTTTTTGAGAAGAACTCAAAAATTTTAAAAAATAAACACCTCTATTCAGGAAGTTTCCCTTCTGTTTTAACATCTTTGTATGGATTCTGATGATTGACCCCTTTCTAAAAGAATGAAAATACCATGTGGGCTGTTCTGAGAGGCAGCCAAGTGGAACAGAAGGGCTGGTGTTGAACCCAGTAAGGAAGAGGGAGGTATTAGGAAAGATCGACAGCCTAAAGCTATTCAACAGCAGTGCAGTGACAGCTTAAGCTGGGATAAATTTTAGAGGCCTAGAAACTAAATGCTCTCTGTGGGGGCAGTATGTACCTCAGCTGGACTCTTCCATAGCCTCAAACATCAACTTGTGATGAGAGAAGTGAGGGGCTACCAGTTACTCACAGCTAGAAGAAGATTTGGCCAAGGACTGTTGCCAACACAGTCTTGGCAGCAGTAGTCTTGTGTACTTTGAATTGTTCAGGTTTTCCAAATAGACGTATTGGTTTTGCTTTTCTTCTCCCTTACAAGAAGTTCTGTTTGTTTAAAACTATTGTTTAACTCTGTGCTCACAAGCGGAGAAGCACTGCTAATTCTTGAGCATTCAAAGAGTGTAACAATTTCCCAGGCTTCTGGGAGAGAGTCAAGCCAGTTTTGTGTAACAATTTTAGCAAGAACCCAATTAAATTAAAGCAAGCTCTGTTGTTGCCAATCCGTGCCTTGGAGAAGGGTTACAATTAAACAGCAAAACATAGCGTGACACTAAGAACAGCAACAGATTTACTTGAGCATCCTCAAAATACATTACCACAATATCACAAAAACAAGCTTTAACACTGAGAATTTACCCAAGCAAGACAAACATTACTCCAGGGCAACATGATTTTGTCTGGGGTTTTTTCCTTTCTAAAACCGAACGAAAATAGAATTCCTTCAGTACGATCAGGTTTTTAGTCTGCCAGTGACAGCTGTGACTACCTTCTTTAGAAACAAAGGCAACATTTATTAAGCAGCTATTAACAATATGTACTGTTGCTTCTGTGAAGGAAACCCATTATGGACAAACACAAACAAGGAGAGTACTGAGAAAAAACTATGGTCATTAACTTCAGTCAGACATATACGTTTGTGAACATTTAAAGTTTGCTGACCTGAAACAAAGCTACAGACCATAATATACCTTCTTTAAATAAACTATTAGTATTTTCTGGTAGATTATGGAGTGTACAGGACTAGTGCTGTGTGATAGTTCCCTTTTTCCTTCATCTGCCCAAACTCCTCCTTCCCTCTGCAACATTAACAAACCTGGCACCAGTCACCAGAAGCATACAGCAAACAGAAAAACAGGATATAGTTTTTCAGGTCACATTAAAGTTTTTCCCCTCCTCATTCCTTCATTTCCTGATTTCAGTCCCCCATGCTCTACTTTTCCCTTTTCCTTTCCTGTTTTCTTCTCTTGGCCATCTCTCCCTTTCTTTTCTCAAATTATGTCTGTGTGTTTTTTAAAGCAGGATTTCTTTCAGCTTTCCTATTATCTTTTGCCCACAATTTTGGGTCAGGTTTTGGTGGGATTTTAAGTTATCTGGTTTACTCAGCTTAAAAAGGGGAGGGGAAAAAAAGTGTAATCTGACACTATCTGACTACTTCTCATGTTATTTTTCTTCAAAGTCTGGTGATCCTGTGTATGGAATCCTACTCAGATTAACAATCCTCCCAGCAAACCTACTCATGAGTTTCAAGGAGGACTTAAAGAGGTACTGAGCAAGAAGTCAGACCAGGATAGCTCCCAGAAGCCAAGAGGATATCAGAAAGTGTTTTAGGGAAAGAGGATTTGTCTCAAGACCACAGAGCACTATTTTTTTGTTATTACATGAACATTTAAGCTTAACATTTATAACCTGTCTTGGAAGAGATTCTGTATGAATGAAAAGACACCTGCGACCCACGAGTTAGGATATGGACACCCTCTTCAAACAGCTCTTGAAGAAGCCTCTGTTCTTACCTCTAGGCAAATTACTGATCCTTGATGCTCTTTGAACACTTTCAACTGCTCACCAGTGACAATATTCCATGTTCGAATGGTATAATCCGTGCTGCCAGAAAACAGCTCCCTGTTTGGTGCGTCAAGTATAAGGCATAAGACAGCCCCAGTGTGTCCCAGCAGAGTCTGGTAACAGCGCCCACTGGACACCCACCAGACCTTAACAGTGCAGTCTGTGCTACCTGTCACCAAGAGGTCTCTGCTCACTTTCTCCTCCTCCTCCTCTTCCTCCTCCTCTTCTTCAAGAACATCCCTGGAGGAATAGTGAGCTAGAGTCAGGACGCAGTTCCGATGGCCCCGAAATTCCTGGATTTGTTTCTCTTTGTCCACACTCCAACAGCGGGCTGTCCTGTCATAGGAGCCACTAAAGAGATAGTCTTTGGCAACCAGGATCCTGCAAAAAATAAAGTTTGCTTGTATGAACAGTATCATTCTTTTTACATAACAACTTTTTCTCACAATTTCAATGCCAAGCACCCTGAAGTTAGAGACTATAGCACAAACAAAACCTATTATGTCCCCAGTTCAGTGTCACTGTTTAATACACATTAAACAAAAAACAATTAAAAGATTCATAAATAAAAAACCACAAACAATTCCCTGTTCCTACTTTTAAAATTGAGACCTCTTATTCAGGTACATTGATGCAGACATTTTTACACTATAGCACTGTAACTTTGGGCATTTGTGTTTTCTAGAATCTTTTCCAATAGCACCATTATGTACTTTTCACAAGTAACATGTACTAGCTAAGAGTTTGTTGTGGTTTGTTTGGGTTTAAAAAAAAAAAACAAACTTCATTCTTGATAATTATAAGTATTTCTTTACAAATAATTATATACAAACTGACCTAAGAAAAATCGTTTGGAATTAAAATAACAACAACCACAAAAAATTCCAGGAACCTGAACTGTAACTGACAGTGGGCAAAGATAATCATCTATCTTTCCATCATCAAATGGAGAGAGTACAGGAAAAAAAATATATACCTAATCTCACTTAGCCCAGGATCTCAAAAAAGGTAGAGCAAGAACACCCCACTATTACATGAGCACCCCACTTATTACATAACTGAAGAGAAAATCAGAAATTACAGCTCAAGAATTCAACTTACTGGGCCTCCAAAACAGTGAGCTGTAGCTGCACAAACATGTAACAACAGAACAATCCCTACAGTTCGTATTTCCAAACCAGAGATAGTGAACATCTTAACCTGCCTTCTTTGTCAGCTAAGTGTGGTCCTCTGGAACCTTTCAACTGGCAACAAAGTCATATGAATAGGGAACACATTTCCCATTTGCTGATTCAAGCAAAAATCAGGCCAGTGCCAAAATACAGACAAAGCCAGCCTTTCTAACTATTTACAGAATGTAGCTACACATTGTATGTGTTTTGAGTTTAGTAAGGAACAAAAAAAAAAAGCACTAGAAAAGAAAAAAAAATTAAAAGTACTGGTCTTTAAATGCTGTATTTGTCATTAATTAAATCCAGTCTAACTATTAAGAGGCCCTTTAAATTGACAGGCTGATCAGTCACGCACAATCAGTTTAATATTAAACTTCATTTGCACAAACATGAACAGTAATTCCAGAAAAAGCCCTGACTTTATCCCTCTTACTGACACAAAGGCTTGACGCGATGTTTTTAAAATCTACTTATCAGAAGCATCTGTTATCAATTGAATAATTTCTTCTGGAATTTCATTGCTAGCCCTGGATTTAGTTCCCCTGCCGTGTGCCTTTCATTTCTCTCCTATCTGCTATCTATGGATATGTCAGCACTGTTGCTAGGAAAACTAATCATTACAGCACAGAACACGTGTAGCATGAACTCAAAGGTTTACACAACTCATTTTATTAGTGTTGTAATGGAGAATTGCAGTAAAATGACAATATACATGATAACAGATTACAGGAACACAAGGGAAGAACTCCACTGAACCAACCTGTTAACAATTGACGTGTGTCCTCGGTAAATGGCCAGGCACTGACCTGTCATCACATCCCACTTTCGAATGGTATGATCTGCACTACACGTGAAGGCAGCCTCATTTTCTAAGTGGCAAAAGGTGATGTAACTTTCATGTCCTAGGAATAAAAAAGGAAACAAATTCAATCCCCGTGCATACAAGCGGAACAAACTAGTCGAGCTCTTCACCTTAACAAAAAAGAAAAATTCAGCAAAGGGTCTGAAACTCTAGTTTTAAATGCACCACCATGTTCTTCATATTTAAGGATAAACACAGTATTTTTAATTAACAGCAGAAAACTGCTTCACTGATATAAGGATTAAGTGAAAGAGAAAAACAGTTCCACCAACCAGATAGATTGAACAGCACTATAAAAACATAATTAGCTAAAATAGTATCAGTATAATAATGCTCAGTTTACTTAAGTTTAGAACCAGTAAAAAAATTGGCTTATTTTTTTAATAAACAAATGGTTTTGCTTCCTTCTTCTGAAGTCAGGAAAAAAAAGCTTCATTTCGACCCAGCCCATTGATTGTCAGGACACAAACAGCCCTAAATTAAAGCATTAAACTAGAAAAAAAGAAAGTGACATGAGACTTAGCAATAAGTTTAGTTTCATTGTCCAAGAAAAATGAAACACAAACAAAAAAACATATCTGGTAAAAAGTCAGCCAATACTTTCCACATTATGACTAACAACCTGCATAAAACGCAAAATTTTCACAATATCAGTATACCTTTAAGGAAATGACACAGAAAGAGTAAGAACATAATTACTTATACAGTATCCAGAGTATGGTGGGATTCTACAGTTTAAAAATAGACACAACCACTACTCTAAAAATCTCATGCTGAAAAACAGGGTAGTGCTAGCAAAGAGGAATCAATATTACAACCTTAAACTTTTTTTGCTGCTTAGCAAGATGTAGCATTTTTCTATTGTATCATTAAATGCAACGCATTTAAGAATCACCTTAGGATTTTAGTCAGAGCTTTGTCCAAGATCAGCAGTATGAAACTTCTGTCACCTATCTAATAGTATTATCTTGCACTCTTCTGCTTTAATTATTTAGACTGTAAGCTTTCAAGATCAGAACTGCTTCCTCTTATGCAACCATCACGAGAGCCCCAGACTTGGGTTGAAGATGGTGGGACCTACTGTGATTTAAGTAACACTATTCTTTGAGGAGAAAATAAAAATTATAAGAAGAACAAATGTGATTAGAGACAGATGGACAGGCAAAGACATCAGAGAAACAGAATCATGTTGTAAATAAAGAGATGGTAAAAAAACTGAGAGAAAGCAAACTACCCACTAAAACACTTTGTTTCACTGACTGCAAAAACTACAACTCCTGTAGTTCAAAAGCCTTGTTCTAGTTCAAAAGTGAACTAGCATCCAGGTCACAAATACACCCCTTGTTTCCTCTTAAGCAAATTTACCAGATGCCAAAAATTAAACAGATCACCAGAGCTATAAGCAAAACTATACCCATCCTCACATTTTTGCGAAAACTTTTTGCAAAGCAGCTTAAATGGGACAGATTTCCCAGATTTTTATCACAATATCATGTAAACCTGCTCTGAGAAGATCAAAAAACCATCTTGGTCACTGCAACCAAAATCTGTCAGATTTTAACCATCAAGAATACTTGAGTCACACAAAGAATGACAAAACCCAAATGCAGACAAGGTCTGGTGCTGGTCTGATCAAAAGCAGTCACCACCTAAGTCTGTTGGTTACGCCGTGGCGGAAGCTTGAAACTGTGTTATAGATACAGGTCCATCAATAATTATAGTTTGTATGATACAAATCTACACAACAGCTGTGTGCATGTATAAATATAAAATACATACAATTATCTCATTCGACTGACAGTTCACAAGCCAACCTTCTTTAGAGTTTACCCCAAACACTAACAGTATATAGGCCAATATGACTATTATCCAGTACAGTTTCTAGTTAAAAGTTAATTAGTGGTTTAAAGGGATTTCTAAGCCTAAAGCAAATGCAGTGAGTTTTCCAGGAGCTAGAACCATGGCAGGATGTGGGGAATAAAAAGACAATGCTCCATAGTTAAAAACAAGCAAGCAAACAAACATACAAAATAATCACAGCAATGTGATTTCTTCTTCAGAGGAAAAAAGGATTAGAAATTCGAAATTTAAGAGCTTTTTTTCCCTGTATTAAAAGAACATAAGTGAGTGAGAATACCTTTAGTCCACTTCTGACTCCTGCATGACTCTACTTTCTACAGAGTTTTTTCTTCTCTTTTTAGTTATTGAGATGCTAGCTTAAGGATAATAAATTTTGTTTCAATTGCAAAATCAATGTAAAATTTAAAAGGCCAGCAATTAACATTTCTGTGTGTCAAATGTGGGGAAAAAATAGCTTATTTAGTAAGGTTCCTTTCCAGACTTCTGGGTCAAGAGGTTCTAAATAAAGACTGTCTGGAAACTGAGATGATTACAAGGACACACACACACACAGAAGACAATAACAAAAAATCAATACTTCATTACTTCATCAGGGTGTAAAACAAAGGGCTTCCAGAAGGAGACATAAGTTAAATAACTGCTATGTTTCACACCCTGAGATAAAAGGAACCATGAGTTCAGTAGCGCTTGTAACCTGTTTTGGGTTGAAACAGCTTCTGTTAACAATGCTGTAACAAATCCTTAAAAAAACGCACAAAACAAAACAAGCCTGACTTTGGCTGCCCGGCAGGCTGCAGGGACTGAAAGAGACCAGAACATGTTGTGTGGCCTGTACCACGCTTAAGATGAAAAAACTAGGCTAAAAGAAGCTACGGTACCTTGAAAGTGGCCACGGCACTGGCTGTCGGCAGTGCTCCAGAGCCGCGCTGTGCCATCCTCACTACCCGTGAGCAGGCGCTGCCCGTCCGGGCTCAGGCTCAGCCAGTTGATGCCTCCTTGGTGATCCGTGCAGACCTTCACGGCTGAGCCACTGTTCCCCATCCTAGCGGTCCCAACGAAGGCAAGAGGCTGCGAGTCAGATCACAGGGTCTGTGCAACACCCAGACCGTGCTCCGGGCCTCCAGCCGTCTCCCACCGACCACCTTCAGCCATTACCTGAACTCCGAAAAATCAGCTGGGTAGCCCAGACTCCTGCACTGGGACACAAGGGAGGAAGAGGTGGGAGGGCACGTTAATCATTCCATCTCCCCCGTGGATACACCCCTTTCTCAGGGTGTGCTGAAGCCACGGAGTGCCTCTTTCTCCACAGGTACCGAAGCCCTACGGCGGAAGATGACGCTTCCACACTCCCTCCCCGGGGCGCCTTCTCCATGGACACCGAGGGATGTCCGGCCCCTTGGAGAGGACCCAGGCCGGACGGCGGCGGCACCACTACCTGGTGCCCTGCTCCGAGGCTGCCGGCACGCTGCTCCCTTCTCAGCAGCTTCAAGGCTAACTCGGGGCACGCTGAAGAGCGACGCCTCCGAGAGAGGGAAGCCCAGCCTCAGGCGGCCCCCAGCGCCCCAAGGGGCCGCCTGCCCCCTCCTCCGGCCGCCGCGGGATCACCTCAGGGGCCCCCAGCCCTCCCCCGCCTCGGGCTAACGCCATCCCTCCCACACGGCCCTCGGCATCTCCACCCTCGGCACTTACTCACCACCCTGGACACGGCCCCGGGTGGAGGCGCGGGGCTCGTTTAACAAGGCATCAGCCCTGTTTCGACTTGATGTATTTCAGTGCGTGGGCTGTACAGAAATGCATGCATTAAATGGATACTTCACGGGATATGTTATTTTGCACAGTGCATTCTGGCAGAGGCAAAACAGGCCTAATATGTCACACCCAATGCAAACACGATCCCATTGATCCCAACATTGATCCCAATTCAGCTGCCAGTTGTAGCCATGCACCCATGGAGAAGCTTGCAAGACAGAACTGTTGGACCGCAAATTCGGGTTTTGTGAGGGCCAGGTCAAGCCCTGTGGCGTACCGTTACCAGTCAGCTCTTTCCTGAAGACAAGCATTTCCGCACAACCCCTGCACATGGATGACCAAGAAGTTTTGGTGTGAGACGTGATCATTGGATTTCTTCCCTCTGAAAATCACATTATCCGTGGAAAGATGTTTTTTTGGACATGGAGGCCTGGGAATCGGCTGCTCTCAGGGAGTGTCCCTCACCATCTGCTCGTACATCTGTCAAATCCACTCACAAACCCCTGCCCAGAGTCCTTGTTCTGGAAACTGTAGGATAGATTAGCACTCCTTTTTATTTTCCTATGCTGCTATGATGTGAACACAAGGGAAAATTCAGACGGAAGGAATATTTTGTTTGGTTTGAGGCAGGTATGCACATTTTAGATGCATGCGGTTCAAATCTCCAGGGACGCTGAGCTAGAGGGGAAACCCTTGGCCACAGCTCAGCTGTGCATCAACTGCAGGAGCCCATGGGAGCAGAGACTGTGCTGTTCCTTCCCCCCCTTTTTAAAGCCCTTTCAATGTTTTTTATTATTTTTTCAAATTAATATTTCCCTCCTATGGTGACTGATGGAAGCATCTGAGCTTTTGAATATTTTAATGAATATTTATTAATTTGCTTGAAAATTATTCAGTATTCTTTTTCTATTGGTTTTATCTGCCTGAATTTTAGATAATTTTTCTTTATTACATTTGTGTTCTTGTTGGTTTTTTTAAATTATAATACAATGAGGAAAGCAGAAGAAAGTTATCTCCTGTTTGATTTTGTTCCTCAGGGCCCAAATCCTGCAATGAATCCTTCTCATTCAGGCACCTGAGAATGTGCAAGTACAAAACTCAGGATTCCTGGTATACATTTCACTTGTCATTCTCCAACTATTTTCTATTAGCTATGTACATAAACACAGATATGTATATACACAGATGCATGAGCATCTCCTATAACATCCAAGGCATTTAGATGTTTATGACTAGATTCATAGTACATGATTTGTGGGATCCAGCAGCTATTGCTAAGTTTGGAGCCAAGTTTAAACTCTTTTGGCAGTCACTAGGACTAAACGAAGGATCTAGAGTTTAGATCAGCTACACTGTCTTTTGGAAAGGCAGAGGGGTGCCTCTATCCTTCACCATGGGCTATACCAGGGGTCCAACATGAGCAGGTTCCTAGTTCTCTTCCATTAAGCAGAATGAATTGGGACCTTTGTCTTTAAAATATACCTTCATTTCACCAGAGGTTCACCTTGTTCTCACATCTCTGATCCAGAGACAGCACAGTGCAAGGAGACTCCTTAAATCCCTGCCCAAGACATAATGGTTGGGTGCAAAAGCCTCTATGAGTGATTTCATCACAAATTATTTCTGTTTAGACTCACTTGTCTAACCTTCAAACATATAGCATAGGCTCCCAGCCCTGCTGGAAGTCTTATTTAAGGCAGCATTTACATCAGTAGCTGCACTGATATACATGCTGAAGAACATTTACCTTGAAGAGACTTAAATAATGATGCAAATTATTTCAGTAATTTTATTCATGCTGTTTATGGGGGAAAGAACACAGGCAGCTCCTCCACATTCACCTCCCCCTTCTGGGGCCTTGGGTATCTGGATGGATTGCAATGGTCTTTGATGGACAACAAAAGCTCTTTTGTTCTGTCAAAGAAGCTGAGCCAATAACGCCCCAAAGAAGTCAGCACCAAGAGGTCCACTCACCCAACCAAAAACAAAAGAATAAAGTGTGCAGCAATGCAAATTATCTTTCTTAGAGAATGAACCCCTTCCATCATCCCAACCCCTCTGCATTTCTACAGAAGGATCTTTCAGGCTGCCAGCATCTTTTCACTGTCATCCTATTGCTCTGCTTCAGTCTGTCAACCCCTATCACTGTCAGATTTGCTGATAATTAAGTAGTATCTCCTCTTTCTTCACCTCAGAAAATTGCAAGTGCCAACTAACGCTCTTAAAACTACTGTCAAGGGGCCCAGAAGATCAATAGCGGCATATCCTTCACTGACATCCAGCCTTGTTTTTTTTTTAAAATCAGCCACATCCCCATAGTCAATGAGAACTGTTAGCCTCAAAAGCATGTTTCATGGTGTCTCCAGAGGCAAGGTTCCTCACTGAGCAAACCTAGTCTATGCTAAGAAAATTTCCCTGCTAAGGTTAAATTTGATTTAAAAATCGACCCTGTTACACTGCTACAATGTAAATAAAATTTAACCTCGAATAGATTTAGATGTATCTTCTACTGGTTTGATTTAATTCAAAACATTATCAACATCTAGGTAGCATTCAGAGTTGGCATTGGTGAAGGCAGATTAATTTTACATGGATGTAATTATCAAAACTCAAGCAGATGTAGCCTTACTCTGAAGTGAGGATGGAGGAGCAGAAGTCAGCACAGCTTCTTGATTACTATGTGATCAGGCCCTGCTCCACAGACCCAGTGAGTGCTAATGCTTGAAGGGAGAGGAGAAGCTGCCCTCTCCTTCTCTTCCCTCTGTCCTTTGTTAAGTCCAGTAACAGCAACATTCAACTTTTCCTGGCAGAGCCATACTTCAGCTAAAAGATGGGCACAGACCTTTGTGTTAAAATGCCACAGCATAGCTTTGTAGGATAAAATGTCTTGATTTCCTAGCCCGATGCCACAAGTATGAGGGCAAGTCAATGGAAGCCAGATAACTTGCAATTCTGAAAGGAAATACCTTTTAGGCAACGTGTAATCAGCTTGTGGAACTCATTGCCACAGGATGCTGTTGTGGCCAAGAGCTTAACAAAGAAATTCCCCAACAATTCATACCAGTGGGACCTCGCCAGCCCTCAAAATTTATCATAGACCACCATGTAGCTCTAGATCCATGTGGGGCTTTGCACTCTGGTCACAGTGCAGGGGAGGGCTGTGACCATGCATTACATTTAGGCTGTGTGTAATATTGCCTGGGGCCTCTGTGAAAGCAAGGCTTGGTTTGATCCACAAACCAGCTGCAGTCTTCTTGTCATGGCAGCGTCTACATGTGGAACCATATGCTCATTAAAGCAGTCCTCTTGCCACCCAGATTAGAAGACCTGTTGCAGCACACCATGGTTCCCTTCCAGCCTGTGAGCTAAAACTCTCTTTCCATGTAGGCAGCACAGGAGGAATGGTGTGTGCTTGCATCGCTCACTACGGTGCCAGTGTCATTTTGTATCTGGAATGCATAACTGGGCTTCACAAAACCCTACCCCACAGAGCACCAGTTTGTGAGGCACCACCGGGAACAGGGCTGGAGAAGCACATGTGGAGGTACGCAGACAACTGTAGTATTGGCAACTGTATTAGGAAACACCAAAAACTGTTTTGGAAGGCATATAGACGCTCCCAATCTGCCTACTCTGGAATTTCATGCATTCTCCCAGGGTCATCCAAAAGCCTTCGGAGGCTCTGGGCAGCGTGCCTGTATGTGCAGTTCTGCACACCATCTGAAGTTATCCTTTCAGACTTCAGACCAAGCTTCATGACTTAAATCAGCATTGCAGTTCATTCTGACCCCTCTGCAACTGGCCTCTTTTACAGGCAACACAGTTCTTGTAAGTGTGGACCCTTGGCAGCTTAAAATGTCCTGCAGTGCTCAGAAGTCTAGCACTTTTAGCAAATTTCCCTACAGGACAAAAGATGGTTGGAAACTGTCACTTACCCTAGGATTTCCTGTAAACATTTAAAAAGTTCTTCTGGTTTTTAATCAGATCTCAAGCCGTTTCCAAAACAGTTCTTTATGAAAATATTTGGGTTTTCTAAGTTTTTTTGTGACTGTAGTAACAAGAATACCTCTCTCCAAACCCCATGTACATCTCTGCTGTCCACTCCTGCTTTACCTAGGTGCATGGACTACTCCTAATCAATGTCAGGAGTGAGTCTGAAAGCATGGCATCTGGAAAATCAAGTGGTATTCTATGACCAGATGAATGGTTAGGTGATAGTGGTATTTCTGGTTGATATAAATGGGGTCTTAGTACCTAACCCCAATGTCAGTCCCTGGTGGCAATGGGAATTTAGCCATGAACTTGGAGGGGGCACGGAAGGGATTACATTAACTTTTTTCTGTGATGAACGGATGGCTTAAAACCACTGCTGTGAAGGCATCTTATCTCTGTCTAAGAAAGTAGATACAATTTCCTAGAAATTTTTAAGACGCTACATGCCAGGAAGTGTAAGATCTCACAGCAGCTGTTTCAAAGATTACTGTAAACAGGTTTCCTCTTGCATAGTCTATGGATGGCAAGGCCCTTCCATCATGCCACTGTATAGTGGGAACTTTACTACGTAATTTAAAATTACAAATATTTACAAAATTACAAAATAATAGTCAAAAGCTCATTTTACCCTGTTCCCTACTTCGATGGGAGCCCTGCTGTTTCTTCCAGACAGTGAGTTGGCCTCTTGCCCAGACCATATATCTCTTATGACAGGCTCCTTAAGGACCAAATCTAAATGGAAGCCAAAAGAAATATGTCTTACTAAGTGACACAGGGGTAACTTTCTGAGTCTGATTCTG